CTTTTCAAGAACTTGGAGTTAATTTCATCAGCGCCACAGGAAGACGATAGCTATAAACCATCAATTAATTTCAAAATACCTGCAAAATCAACTACAGTCGAGCCCACATATAAGAGCGCCACTTAAAACGAACTTTTGCTTGAAATGAACAATATCCGCATGACAGTTAAAATATACATTGATTCAATGGCAGAAAATCACACAACGAACATCTTCGAGCGCCGCTGATCAATTACAGTGAACGGAATCAGCGGTCTGCCGACTTCCCGGGAAACCGATTTCGACCAATGATCAGGGATCGGCGAGGTGCCCATACATTCTTATTGTTAAACGCCGACCCTGCCTTCGCGACCCTCTAGTTGCGAAGGAAAGCTGTTTCCTTCCTCCATGCCTTGACTGCTTTTTGTTACGCACCCCTCCGTCCTTTGTCCCCCCGCTAACCTAAGCACCTCGCATTGCCAGACAAGGCCTGTGTTTTCACACTGCCACCGATTTTTCGAAGACCGGTCGGCCATCTGCTCTGTTTTTGATCGCTGGTACTCTCGTTGGTGTCGCCAGCCTGGAGTGACCAGACCATTTGGCAACATTGTCGGCCACCTACTGTATCCGATAGCCTGTGTATCCGACCTACTGTATCCGACGCCCATATGCTACGCCACCGACTCTGATAATTTGCGATTCGTTTCGTTTAAGACTTGTTCTCGCTCACTTTGCACTCGACTCGGCATGGCTTCCGCGCGCCCATCGGGAAGCGGGAAAATGGCTGTTAATTTACGCAGAACGAATCGCGAAACATCAAAGTTCGTGAGGCCATGCAAACCCGCCGGCACAACAAAATGATTTTTTTGACCCCGACCGCCGATCGGTGGCCGCGCGCACCGGTCCAGGCGGCCATGCTTTGACTTCCGCGTGCGCAGGCACTCTAAGTTTTTCTACGTGCGAGTTTCGCGGACCTTTCAAGCAAGCTACCCCACCTGCCTCCTTCCTGTGTGATTTGGTTTTCAAGGCCGCCCTCCCGCCACATCCTCCCCTCTCTTTATCGCAACTCCTTGCCCTTGTCTCGCAAGTCTGCTCTCCTCTATTTATCACAACCCCTTCGTCCGTCTCCACCGCTCCGCGACGCCCGCCACGCTGGCTCGAATTAGTTTCGTTTTCTGACTGGAAACGAGCCCAGAGCTGTTCCATGCATTCTGGCATGTGTGTCGCATGTGCGCGTCTTGCTCGCTCTTGGTGTGCGTGTGTGGTCATGATGGCCGACGGAGGACTAGCACGCTTTTTGTGCCCCTCAACAAAACGTCGAAAGTGTGACCGCTTGGCATGAGCGTAATCCGCACGTTAGGTGCCGCGTTGCGGAGCGCTTGCTCATAGCTGTTGACCACCTGGCAGCCAACTTGCCGCTTCAGGCATCCCGGTATTCAGCTTTGGAAATGGTGGATATTTCGTGGGTGGTGGTGACGGCTACATGCACGCGAAACTGTTTTCACGAGGCCAACTGCTTCGACGTCGGGCCTGATGCTGAGCCTGAAGCTTCCGAACAGAACCACTGCGGCGGCGATTTGTGGCCCAGCGTCGTCGACTCCGACCTGAGAGAGCGGGTGGAACATCTGTTGCAATAGTTTAATTACGGCCGATGATGATGCCGACAATGTGGAACCGTGCACAAATTGGGGCATTCTGGATGAAATTGGAGGAATTGGATCGCGAGAACGACGAAACTTTGGAGCCAGCGCCTCATGCAGCTTACGCCACGAACCTCTGCGAACGAGCACCCTGCCGTTTTAAATGAACTCAAGCCGCCTTTATCGCTTCTGCTCTTCGAAACACGCGCATCACGGACTTTTGGGGCAAACGAAAGTTTATGTTTTCACTCGCAACTTTTTTTAATAGCTGTGTTTCGTTTACTAGGAGCTTCGGGATACAGCAAATGGATGCCGCGTCGCACTCAGGTTCAGTATAAGCGGGCTCGACTGTACAAGTAGATGCATGGAGAAAAAATCATTTTTGTACAAGTGCGACTGCGTGTCAATCAGAAAACAATTTCGCGAAGGTGTCTTTAGTACCATGCAACATTCTTCATTGCTCATAGCACAATCATCAGAAGCTATAAAAGATATGCTAGTTTTTTTTTTTTTTTTGAATAGTGCTCCAAAATTTTGATGGATTAGTAGAAATAAGTGATCGTAGAAAAGTATTAAAAAGTACAGCTTTTGCTTTCTTAATGCATTGCGATATGCACGCAGTGCGTGAAAATAAGCATTCCAAAGGATAGATGTTTGAATGCGTTTCGCAAGGCGAAAGAGGCGTTTTTTCTTGTTTGATAATCTTTTTAGTGTGGTCGAACACCAAGGCAAACGTTTCTTTTCGAAAAGCCTGCGCAGTGGAATATATTTAGCAACAAGTGACGTGGCTTTAATTTTTAACAAATTCCAATTATCTTCTACGGTACAGCTAAAAAATTCTGGCATGTACTCGTCAATGAACAGTGCAAGCTCATTATTAATTGCTGTGTAATCACCTCTCGTATATTCTCTGATCAATTTTGGAGTGCTTTTCTGGCGTGTGATGTGGCCCTTTACAAAAAAGTGTAAAAGACAGTGATCGCTTATTCAGGGTAAACAAGTTAATGAGTGTACTAGGTTAGGATTGTTGACGAGCACGAGGGTCGAGAGTATTTGACGAAGTAGCGTTAGTTCTAGCAGGTCCAGAAACAAGTGGCGTAAGATTAAAATTTAAGCACAAGTTAATAAAAGAGTCGCTTTCAGTGGACGAACCAACAACAGAGGGATATTGCAAAGCCCAATTTATTTTAGGAAAATTAAAATCACCCTGAAGAAGCAAAGGAGAGTGGGAAAATTCTGAGACAAGAAAATTAAGAATGTCATGAAGTTCATTGCAGAAAGCAGTTGATGTATTTGGCGAACGATAGCAAGCACAGAGCAACATGTTTTGATGATTTAAGATAGCACGTACGCATACTAATTCTAAGGACGTCGTAAATGCAATCCTAGCCGACACTATATTATCGGCGACGGCAATCAGTACGCCACTACCTGGTTTTATATCATTGTCGTGACGGTACACAACATAATTCTTCTCGCACTGGGACAACTCCTCGCTCAAAATTTTATCGGTCAACCAGGTCTCCATTAATGCAATTCACATCAGCGACACATTAATCAAGAATAGGGGCTAGAGCGTCGAATTTAATGATTAAACTGCGCTTATTTGACCACGAAAAGGATAAGCCTTCAGAATGGTGGCTGCGTGGCTGATGTTTCACTTTGTCAGGAAAAAGAACCACCCAAACGGCAGTGACAAACCATAGTTTAGTGTTACTTGGAGCATTTCCAAAATGCAATTCACAGACACTGTCGTTGTCGGGGGATCAAACGTAACACTTTTGTTGATGTATAACTTGTTAAACCTCACAAAGAAAACTTTGCCGCTTTTCTTGGCAAAATCGTACAGCTTTGTCCTGACAGTTCTGGTTGCCCTACAAAAATCTTCGCTTACGGAAACACCAATTGCTTTTAACTTACCTTTAGAAGACAGGATCGTTTCTCTTAGTTTGCAAGATGAAAACCAAACAATAATAGGTCTGGGCTTTCAAGTGACACAAAATTTTCACTTCAAAGTTAAACCAGAAACGAAATGGTTTTTGTACAACTAGAATCAAAAGAGATTCTGTTGAACATTCTGGTCTAGAATGCATGGTTATTTTTTGTGAATTAATATTATTATGAATATAACAGCTAAGTGTCCAGACAATCAGTGTTAACACCAAAGGATTCATAATATAGTTAATAACGTTCCTTCATTGAAAGTCACAAATTATATAACAAAATCTTTGTCTTTTGATGATGCACTCATTGCTAATGTGTGTTGTTTATATAGCTAGACAAAAGTTCGCCCAATACACACTTAAATCTGACATCCTTAATGGTCGCACAGTCAAACTACTTCGGTTAGTCAGGTCAGCTGGTGGTAGCTGGATTCACAACACACACTTCCAAATGTTGGTAGTCTTTGAGTGCAATGCACTGCGCGAATATAAACTGCGGTGACCTTTGTGCTCCATGCAATTTCAGTATTAAAATGAAATAAATAAATAAACAAGCAAAAATGTGGCCACATCTCGAAAGCCACGATACTTTGCGCCCTCAAAAAGACTGGGTGCCTTGATGTTACCAGTGATCATTACAGGCTACTGATTGCCAACACCTTGGAAGTGCCTGCAAGAGCCACAGCCATTTTACAACAGCATGAAAGAACTGTAGCAATATTCCTGCTTCTGAAGCTCTACGACACTGATGTTTGCATAAATATAAGGTTACTGGAATATACACCCAGCTCTTCTAGAATTTTTCCTTATTTTCTCATTACCCGCAGTTCCCTTCTTACCCGAGACCATGTCATGAGGACAGTTGGTTCAACATCCACAACTTCTAAAGCAGTGTATGCATATCTCCCCCACCCCTGAATATGCAATCAAGTACTGCTGACTGGGCGAGTTGGCGTATAATAAAATGATATTGCTTTAGCGCAGCTCAGTTTGAGCGTGAAGGAACGATACTATGCAGTCAAGAAGGGGAACAGACAGACGATAGCGCTCACACTGTCGTCTGTCTTTTCCCCTTCTTGACTGCATAGTACCTTTCCTTCACGCTGAAACTGAGCTGCACTAAAGCAATACCCTAAATATGCCTTTGTTGCACAACGGCTTCATGTCTAAGCAATGGGCAAAAAAAGCAGTCTAGAGCAGAAGCAGGATTGAAAAGTTTTTCCCTTTGGCCTTTTTTTATACAGTACTATTCCAACATCCAATTGCATAACGTTGAGTTGACTGCCTCGTTTGTCAGATGTTTTCAAGCTTCAACTTGACGACTAAGCACAAGCCTGATGCATCTGCATTAGTCAAACAGGTGCACGTGCAAAACCTGACAAACTCTGGGAAGAAGCACGCACACGAGCCATGCAAGAGCTGAACAAGCTGTCCTCACCTTCGTACCGGTAATTTTCCATCCGGGTCCACCAGGAATCCTAGCTTGATCCAACTACACATACCAATCAAAAATCAACAGAAAAAAAGATCAAGATGGCCTACAACACAAATTACATATCATTCATTGCATGAAAGTAACATAAAGCTGTGTTCTCTGTACAGAACAAAGGGTGCAAATAAGTATTGTACTGGCATCACACGGGCACTTTTAATCGCAATCAGGGCGATCCAGTTCTGTTTTCTTGATCGCGATCAACTTTATGACAGCTGCTTCACGGCCCAAGCTGATCCGGTTCGAGCTTTGGTTATCTAAATGCTCCATGTGCCACTTGCATGCCGTAAAACATGTCACTGACAGAACTCGGCATACGATGGTTCTATAGAGCCCTTTGTCAGCAATGTTTTCTTGCAAGAACCGCTCAAACGTCAAAAACTTTGCCTGCCACTACAAAAGTAATTTCATAAACCCATCATTCAATAGTTTTACTTGCATATACCTGTATTGCTGGGTGAGATTCTTGACCTTTGCTTTTATTTCTGATGGCACCTGCTCATAGCCGTCCAGTCTTAGCAAAGCATCAATCTCATTGTACGCACCAGAGTTTCAGTTTTGGCGCCTCAAGTCTTCCAGTTGCTCCTGCCAGCGGTCAATTGCTGCAATGGTCTCTTCATTCGACCACGAAGGGGACGTACATTGCGCCGTAGTCGAAAGGCTTGTGACACTCATAATCAGTTTGCTTCGAGGTACTCCAACAGCGCAATCGTGCGAGAGTTGAACTAAGCGCGGCAGGCAATGGTTGATTGCTTGTCATCTGCTAGTTGTCTGCTTCTCTCGTAACTGCATGCGGTCGATACGAACCTCTAAATATGCGATATTTCAGATATTGTTCCAATGCAAATAGTGTAGAATTTAATTTTCTATAGACATCTAGCTGCTTTAAAGTGTTTTTATTTAACTATGCTCAATTTTCTTGTTTATTATGCTTTGAACAAGCTCAACCAGGGGGTGCAGACGACAGTGAAATCGCGATCTTGCAGGCGGATCCCGATGCATGGCTCGCGATAGTCTTGATCCTGATCCCGCCTGATCGTGATTAAAAGTGACCGTGTAGCAGCACTTAATCCGGATCGTGGTTAATCTGAATTGACACTGATCACGCTTAAAAGTGCTCGTGTGACACCTGTATTACATAAATGACCTTTTGCAAATGAACAGTCAGTTCATGGAAAAAAAATCATCTTGCTTGAGCGCCATTTTTAAAGTTTAGCAAACAGCAAAACAGTGTAGATTGCTTTTTCAAGCAATGGATGCTTAAGACATCGTGTATATTGCACAGCAACGTCATGTTTTCACAGAGCAGATGTAAATAAGTACAAGTAGCTATTTTGCCAACCACGAAGCACTTGATATGTCAATGTTTTTCTCATGACGCAGGGTGATGAGTGTCACACACATCTAGAGGTAGTAAAGAAGATGCATGCCAAGTAATGGCCTTTTAATGAATGTATGCGGGTTTTATGCTAAGCATGTCGTACTAAGCCCAGTTTATGATCAGAAACTTTAGCAAAGTGATTTTGATGAGAGGCTATAAAAACGATTACCAAATTGTTTTTATTATTATGCCCATACAGCCCATAGGGCTCAAACGAAACGAAAGAGTGCGAACCAAAATGAAAAGGTTTAAAACATAAAAACCTGATGTTTTGGCTACCGTATGATAGCCTTGTTCGCAGTAAAGTGGTTTAGCGAAGTCAGCATTTGTCCATTTAGAATGCTGTCGAGACCCTTAACGTACGCTGGTGGTAGATTGCCATAATTTCTCTTTAGTGCTTCTTTCGTAGCCTGGATAGGGAGAGATTCCAGATATTGACGCTAAAACCAATTTCCTTTCTTTGCGATTACGGGGCAGAAGACCACAAGCCATGTATCTCCTCGCATCCTAATTCTAGACTTCACATGTTCCCCGTTGTGCAAGCTTTCTGGCTACCTTCATCGAGTGTTCGCACCTCTCATGAAAAACGGCACTTCTTTCACCCGTAACTACTATGATTTCATTGAAAAGGTGTGGGACATTATGATTGATGATGACGAAATCTTAGTTTCATTTGATGTGAAGTCACTTTTAACCAGTGTTCATGCGGATCTAGCCGGTGAGGTGTGCGAGGCTGCCTAACAGCTCGGGACAAATCACCAACAAACGCACTCGATCTTCTAGAGCTTTTGAAGTTCTGCCACATTGTGTTCCAGGATGTCGTCTACAAGCAGGTGCACAGAACTGCGATGGGCACTTCAATTTCTGTAACTGCGGCTAACTTTACCATAGAGTTAGAGGCCTTTACATGGCCTTCGACGCCCTTTAACTGTCCTCTGCAGACTTTCCTGTATCATAATGACGACTGTTTTTGTGCCATCAAGAAAGAGGCTTTAGGGCGATTCTCGGTGCATTTGAATTGCATAGATATATCTATTTAGTTCACAACTGAAACGGAGGTCTCTGGCTGTCTACCTTTCCTAGACGTACTTGTAGAAAAAGCCTTTGTATCACTGTCTTCAGGAAGGCAACATACAGCGGACATTACCTGCACTACGATTCAGTCCATTCTGCCTGCCACAATCATCCTGTTGCCACTTCCCTGATACAGAAAACATACATGATTTGCTCCAGTGAGTGGAGGTGCTGGCACCCCCTTCAAAGTTGTTTGCACTGCACGCGCACCTGTCTCGCGCAGAAGCCGTATTTTGGGGTCACAATTATTGAGCAGTAGGTGGCACTGTGTTCGTGGGCGTTGATCACCACTATCATCATCACGGTTAGATCAGTATGAGCGCCGGGGGTGACTCCTGGCTGCATGCCTAGGTGGCGGCACGCAAGAAATAAGCTGGTCTCTTTCTCTGGTGGCGTTTGGCGCGAACGGTTGTCTCTCGCGGTGTGTCCCTGATGCACGGCACTGCGGGCCGTCTGCCGGGAGCCACTGTGGCGAGTCAAGAGTTGGGGATGCCGCCTTGCGTTTGTTATGTTGTTGAGTGTTGTGTAATTATGTGTAAGGTTGTTTAGTGTCTATATCAGAGTTGATGTTATCGTAATTCGGCTGACGATATCGTCGATCAAATAGTAGTTAAATAAATATGTGTTGTTTGGTTTGCTCTGACCGTGTCTACTGTCTCCGTTCACTCCAAGAGTGTGGTGAAAATAACCACCTTCAAATCCCACACCGGCTGCCCAACGTGGGGCTTTTGCAGCATCGAATGACAGTTTTTGCACGTTCGGTACAACCTTTTGTTTGAGTTGGGGTAGGCCTAAGGAGACTTAGGTAGAGTAGGCCTAGGGGGGACGTCTCATAGCTATAGCATCGGCGGTGTGCTTTGTTGAGACCGAAGAGATCGGCTGGTGTGACGTGTTTGAACTTGTCGGCACGTTTAATATTTTTTTTCTGCTCGCAAGTGTTATTTTATCATTATCTTGTTGTTAGTTTTCAAGAATGTTGTTCAGTTGGTACGAGAGCCATGCGGTCTGCACCCTGGGGGTGATTAAAGCTTAGAGCACGTAGGTCGTAGGCCAGGCCCGAAGCGAGTGAGTACGGAAGCCTCGTGGGCGGTCCGAATTTCTGTAGATAGCTTCTTCTATTTCATTGCGCTCAAGGAGCCGGGCGTCATTGTCTGGTATTGTGGCTCGACGCCGAGGCGTCGTGACACCGTCCGGGACGATGGACGCCAATCACTCCATAAGCTGCTCTGTGCCGCGAGCGATACCGCCACCTTGCAGAGTGTATGATGTCTCATTGCGGCTGCCTCTTCTGCATCTAGGCTGGGTGCTGGGTGGATGCCGGTTGTTGTCGAGCGACTCATTAGGCCTGAAGCTCTGCGCAGCCGCCTGTCGCACGTGGCACAACTAGGTGGATCGAAATCTTTAGGGGTGACGCGTCAGCATTGTTCGCTGATGAGCACATACCATGCGGTTGGGAGCTGTCAGACCCCGCTTTAAACTCCTACGCTTACGCGCTTCGTACGGCCCACGCCTTCCCCGCACTTAACATTCCACGGCAGGAGCGCGAGGTCGCCATGGGGCCTAACGAGCGGCGCAACCAAGAGTGAGGACCACCTGACCGAGGCGACTTACGATCGAGCCGACGTGGTTTCGAAGGTACTTGCTATCGGTGCAGTGCGCAGGGGCACATCGCCCACGCATGCAAACGCACACCGGGTCAAGATCAAACGTGCGGTCCAGGAAACAGACAGTGCCGCCAGTGATCCACATCAGACCCCGCGCGGTGATCAGTAATCCCACCGATGCGTTCAGATCACTGGTACCCACAGTCTGTCGCACAAGTGATACTGTAGACTCGCTCGCGCCGCTAATCGAGTTAACGATAGCTGAAAAGAAGTTTGTAGCACTTTTGGATACTGGGGCAAGCGCTTATTTATTAGGCGACGATGTGTTGCGCTATTTCCGTGAAAACAATACCCGCATGAGACAAAGCAACCCCATTTTCCGCCTTTCTACGGGCACAGCACAATTGAGCGGCGCGGCTAGGCTAGTGATCCGCTGGGAAAGACGCGTTAGGCAACATTTCGTGCATCTTTCTGGGCTGTAATGTCTAATCCTGGGTCGAGACTTCTTCGCCAAGTCGGGTACTGTCACTGAAAATGCAAACAGCGGTTACCGTGAGCACGACAAAAACGCGCTAAAGCTTTCTCGAAGTCTCCCCGCATTGACAAAGGCATGTCAATCGCAGGGAAAGGTGCGAGTGCACGAGGAGAAAAAGGCGCCGAGAAAGCGAGTGACCACCCCGCCAGAACAATGTGCCACGCTGCAGGGAAGGTCAGTGCACCTGCTTTTGGTAGAGGCACAGAGCCTGTCAGAAAGGGAACGACCGCAGCTGTCATCGCTGTTTGTACGAGTACGACGTGATGTTTACTGACCACCCCGGCAGCACTATGCTGGTCAAGCACAGAATTGACATGGGTGACGCACGACCTCGGAAATGCGATCCCCGACCGATCATCTTGGCTACGCGGAAAGCACTTGACGTCGCCTTGGATGAACTCATCGA